GGAAGTGATCCGGAAACTGTACTTCAAAGAAAATATCTTGTATGCCTCGGTGTGAGCTTAATACATCCCGTTATCTCATGTGACAAATAACCATGAACAATGCAATGATCAGAGAATCTTATGAATGTGTTCAACTATTGCAACGTGTGAGGGGAGGATCCCTAAATACAGATTGAAGCGAAGTGGATATACCCATGCCATGAAAATACGACGTTAGGCTTTGTCTATGTTGGCGTCCCTTCCGCCCGGGCTACAGTTTTGAGTTAATGATATAGCCCAATTAATTTCCCCAGGAACTGACAAACCAGACCCTTACTTTAGTATGTAATTTAGGATTAAGATATATAATTATAAGGCATAAGGTCACAATAAATAGGAAAGTGTACATGTGAGAACCAGAATAAAATAAAAGTGAAAATTAAAGATTGGAAACTGTAGGCCTAGTTCAGTGAGAGACGCAAGGCACCACCATCAATGACTCCCAGTCTCACCAAAATAGGTCAGTGAATTCTACCATGCTCCATTCAGCCCTAAAAAGACTTATCTAGCAGTTTTTTACATCTTAAAACCTTGCCTGATGTTATAAAGTGAAGTAATAGTTGTACTAGTGTGTGGTGATAAATGACCATCAGGCATTATTCGCCCCCCAGGCTCCGTTGTGGGTCGTTTGACCTGTGCCCGGGTGGGCTAATTCCCGTAAAAAAAAAAAAAATTCTCAATGACACCCGGTCTCTCACCAAAACAGGTATCACGCATTCAAAGCGTCGGCCATTACCACACTGCGAGGGACTCGCCATGTGTGGTGTGACTGCTTTCGGCCATTATGCACCCCCCACTGTGAATCTGTGGATACCCTACATATCACCACCCAGGATAGGAGAAAATAATTGTATGTTTGAGAAGATTCGCGGTCGCTACGTGGAGCGACCAAAGAATACCAGACGTGGAAACAGTACTGGTATGATTACTTGGGAAGTATCCCATCTACAGTACTCAGCAAGAGTAGAATGTGAACGAGGTACCTGGTATGTGTACCTAAGAATACCGAGGAGTTCCATACTTGTAGGTATGGAGTGTACCCGGGATGTGGTGCTATGATATAACAACATGTGGTGCTGTAATGTGGTGCTGTAATGTAACATGTGATGCTATATTCTAACAGGTGGTGCAGTCTGATGTGTTAGCTGTTATGGTAAGAAAGAATGACCGAGGTAAGGAGGTCATTGGTTGTTATGAAGAATGAAGATGATAATAATAATTATTTGATGTAAGAGGTGTATTGATGTGAAGTGTAATGAACATAACAGTTGTTCTTCTGATGAAGGCCAACTCTTTTTGTATTGTGACTGGATGCAATATGTTTTATAAGGAATAAATTAGTTGTCATGCTTGATGTTTCACCCTTCTTCCCACTCTCGATTTGGTCAATGAAAAACCCAACCCAATGCCTAGCTTACTCTGCCCGCTACCTAACGAGCTACATACTGTCCAGGGGGGTCTGGTGGCAGCGACCTTAAAATTAGGAGTAGAGTTAAGTTAGGGTTGCCATATCTGAACATTCAAAAAAGAGGACGCTCCCGAAGACATCCCCCCCCGCCCGGCACACACAGGCTAATATACAACATACATGGTATAGAAATCTTAAAAAAAAATTACCTTTGCTTAAGGCTGAACATCTTCATTCCCTTAGCTGCAGTCTTCTTCCCCCCACTGTGTGTGTGACTTGATGTGCCCATGCATACTTTTCTGTAGATTGGATCTTTTTCAGTATTGGCTGATTGCTCTTTAGAAAGGTATAGAAGTCACTGCAAGGTGTTTCTCAGAAGTTGTACTGTACGGTCAGAATGCCTTTCATTGTTTCAACACTCAATTTGTTCCTTTCCTTTGTCCATTGACTTTGCATCAGTGAAAAAACTCTTTCTACATTTGCATTGTGACATGATATAGCAAAGAAGAATTGTGCAATTCTTAGCAATTCTGAGTGGCATTCAATGTTCTTTGCTTTTTCAAAGTATCTGGTCCACTTTTTATGTGTTGGCAGATTACTAAATTCTTCATCACTCTTGTAATTTTCCACAAACTGCTTCAGGTTACGAACTTAGTCAAAACACTTCATCAACTTCTACCCCCTTATCAATCAAATATTTGACAGCTAAGTTGACAACACCTACAGGCGTACAAGTGACTTATCAGCTGACGAAAACTGAACGAGATCTCTACGGTTTCCACCTTCCCCCTCTCTCGCTCTCTCCCGTCATTACAGTTTCATGTTTTTTTTCCGTGGAGAAAATGATGGAAGCTGAAATTCCGGACTTTTGAAGAATTTTAAAAATTCCTTCCGGATGAAGATTTCGAGACCTAAATGGAGGACATGTCCGGGAAAATACGGACGTATGGCAACCCTAAGTTAAGTTATCCCCTTAGAATTAGTGACCCCAGAATCGGGCAGTATAACACACACACACACACACACACACACACACACACACACACACACACACACACACACACACACCATAATTCTGTTGTTTCCAATTCTTCAATTAATTTATTACAAGAGACACACCTAACCTTACCTAACATAACGTCACCTAATATATTCTACCACATCCTAACCAAATCTATACGATCCTAAGCAAACCTAACTTAACAAACAAAAACATATCAGCTACAGGAGCGTACAGTTTTATATCTTTACAAGGTTTTACGTTTCATGCAACAGATATAAACATGAACCTCTGACTCAGAAGTAGTCATCAATTATATATATAGATTTTTCAATTTAACACACGCACCCTTTTCTATTTATTATAAAAATATTTTTATGTCACACTGCTGAGTTTATGTACGGATTAATTAACACGGAGTCACGATCTAATAGATCCATTAGATCGTGACTCCGTGTTAATAGACAGTAGGCTCAGTGCTTGGAGTCTATGGTCAGACGTGTGGGAGGTATGAGGTACAGTCTTAACCTGGCCAAAGGCATGCTTAGGTATCAGGTTAATTGGGCGTGAAGGTGACCTGAATGTCACCTCAACGTGACAGGAAATGAAGAGGCAAGCTATGAATTCCTGTGTGGAACATAATAGGATATGACGGTATATGGATCTCTTGGCCACAATTAAGTTAATTCGGTTGATGTGTTGTATATAAACGCAATGTGTGATTTCCCCACACTTATAAAAGTAATGTTTGTTTATATGTCGGCAAAGGCAGTGTGAGGCCAAGAACGCAGCCTCGGGGCAGTGTGAGGCCAAGAACGCAGCCTCGGGGCAGTGTGAGGCCATGAACACAGCCTCGGGGGTAGTGTAAGGCCATGAACACAGCCTCGGGGGTAGTGTAAGGCCATGAACACAGCCTCGGGGGTAGTGTAAGGCCATGAACACAGCCTCGGGGGCAGTGTAAGGCCGTAAACACAGCCTCGGGGGCATTGTAAGGCCATGAACGCAACCTCGGGGCCTCGGGGCGCGGCCATGAGCGCCAGCCATGAACAGTCTCTGGGTAGAGCCAGGCTGGCACGGGAGTCGAGAATAGTGGTGCCGCTTTAACTAAAATTATAGAATTTCCTCTCTCTCTCTCTCTCTCTCTCTCTCTCTCTCTCTCTCTCTTTCTCTGGCGAGATGTTGATTTCCCCATCCGTAACATTCAGCAGGTAATGGGTTAATCCTCTACCTTTCCATGTTGCACGTCCATCCAGGGGTTACACCACCAATTCCAGCTACAGTACGCACTTCCTGCTGGTGTACACTGAGCTGAGCCAATCATCCACCCCCTGGCGAGAAATCACGACCGTTCGTTTAGGAGGTGGACGTTACACTGTACTAAACTACGGATCCATTATAGCATATTATATCCTGTACAGTATACCAAAAATCTCTTTACGGTCAGAAATGATGTTCTAATGTTTTGCTACAGTGCTCTTCAAGAACTAAGGTTTTTATGCGTATACTCTACGGTGGAAGAGTAAATAAACATGTCATACATTTCACTATTTAAACAAAAAGTAAACATATAATCATGCTGCATAGCATTACGACCACAGCCCATAGCACATCTGTTTATAAGCTGATGGATGACTTTATTTTTTCTTTATCCTCTTCGCCACTGATGGCTCATGGCCATTTAGCCGTGAACCAATAAACATATAATGACAACTGCCTTCTGTAACTAAAACCGCGTGGCCCTAGATTCACGGAACCTGCCTGCAGACGTGCTACGATACAAATCATTATGTTTTACCTTCTTTTTTTACAGATGCGTGTGTATGTTTATGTAAATGGGTGTTTTCTTTTAATTTGTTTGAGCCTAAAAATTAGTGTCCTGCCTGGACCCTGAACTCCATCATGAACAAAAATTTGCGTGTTGAACATAATACTCTGACCAACACACATAGTATCTTGTACATTTTTATTTCGATATGAAGTTAATTTTCGTGAATAATACGATATACGCTTTTTTGGACATCCACACGCAACTTCCCATGAAAATAGCGTGGAATTTAAACCCTTATGTAAAACGTAGTTTCACTTAAACATATCGTTGGCTTGCAAAAAATAAAAATATAGTTTTTAAATTAATTAACATGAACTCAAAGCACTACCTTATGAGGGGGCGTAAATGTTTGGCTGTACACATGCGCACTGTTGACGATGGGCGGGACTAGACACAAATCTCGGAAAACCCTGAACACAGGACAGGCTCTGTGGCCGGTCGATCATGGCAAGAAGCGAGGCGAGTTTGTATCACATCGACCTATATTTATTCAACATCGAAAACCAAGCTCACATTGTTTAAGTATATACACAGACAGTGCAAGAATACAAAGAAATGCAAATATTAAGCCCATTTAACTAACCCAAGAAAGCTTTGTGAATCCTATTTTCACTGGGGTCTTGATCTGTAATATGAATTAATGAATGAATTCCGAGTGGATAATGAGAAATTACGACATACTAATGAAATGAAAGATGGGTAATGTCACTGACTTGGCCACGTACCTTCTGCCATCCTCACAGTGCTAGTGGCGAGCGGCTACTGGCGAGCGAGAAAGATGCCTTTCAATTTAAAGCTGCCAGGGTATGACGTTCTGCGCTGCCTGCCATCTAACCTACATTAACTAAAACAGTGTCAGTTTAAGTTATTCCTTATAATTTTCGATAGTGTATCACATCTAGCCATCGAGCAATTTACGTATTTCATTTATAGTATTATCTGTTGTTTGTGATTCGTTATCCTCGTGCCAAGCCTTAAGAGTTTATACTGTTATGGCAATACCAACAATCATGTGAGCAGTTACACACGTAGTAACTGATAACAACGATAACAAACAAACATCTTTCTCCTAGTATTAAGAATCTCCGCAGTTGATATTTGGCTATGTGTTAATATGTACTCTGTAGGTTGCGTACGCAATTAATAGCCAAAACGAATCTCCTGAAAATTAAACACGCCAACTAAGATTAACCATTCTTATGCTACTTAGGGAGCTTAGATTAGGGTGGGTTAGCTTAAGCTAAGTTAGGTTAGATTATTTTGGATAGCATTAAGGTGGTTAATCTTCAGGGGAAATAAGCTGGGGTGTCTAATCTTCAGGTGATTTGCCAAGCACCAAATACTGTACTGTACTGTATTTTAATTAGTCGAACCCGACTACCGAAGGAGTGTTTGTCTTTAAACTATTTTATATTATTGTAGTACTTCTTCTGGAGTCATGGCAGTGTAAGGAATAAAAGGTTCACATCAAACAGGGGGGGTACTACCAAGGATACTGTTGTAGTCCTTGGGTACTACTGCCTGGGAAGATATTGGAAACATAATATATTGTCTAATGGCAGACCCCAGGTTGCCAATCTGACTTTATTTACACACATTTGCGGGGTCTAAATTGTTTCTCTTACGTTGACAACACAACATACATACTGTACTATACAGGGGCATTTTGAGACTATCTGTACTAAACATGAAGACATGATGTCTTATTCATTCTAAGGCCAATCATCATTGACGTAACAAGTCTTCCCAGTGTGCCAGGGACCAGTACCATATTTGTGCAATACAATTAATTGTTTACGATCAGAGAAAATATTATTTGAACATTCGTAGTAATATTATTTTATACAGGAAAAATATAATGAATATAAAAGTGGGTTGGGATGGGGTCCCAAATGACAAACACGCAGATACCCGTATGATGCTCTCTGTTCCACTTCTTGATGGTAACTAACCACTGACCTGTGACCTGACATCACAGACGTGTGGAATAGCAGGGTTGCCAGCTGTGTGACACCCTTCACGGCTGGCACGCATAGTAAAAAATCGGCCATATCTTTAAATGGGATGCATACATTTATTTTATCCGAAATTAAATAACTACCATACTTAAAATATAAAGATTTATGTTTTGGGTGGATATGGCGTAACTGGTGGCCGAGAAACGTGGCAATTCTGGCAACACAAGGTGATGCGCCCGATTGAAATTCCCAGGTGTGGTTCCCACAGAGTCAAACGCCACATCATCATGAAGGTGTTGTTATACGTATTTCAGTTCGCTGTTTTGCTGTTCATTATATCGCATTCGTTAGTTGCATAGCAATGACTTTTAACATGAGTGAGTAAATGAAAATATAGCCATAATAAATATAAAAACTACAATGAAAATGTAAAAAAAAAAAGACCGAGTCAGATGTCCCGGCAGTGTCACGTGGTGTGGAACGTGACTATCGTTTCTTTCTTTTCTGAAAACTCTCCGCGTACCGGCAGACGATGGCTCACGGACCACACTTTGAGTAGCACTGCTATACAGTATATATTTTCTCATTTTTGATAATTTTTAGACTTTTTGTATATATGGTACTTTATTATAGTTATTTTTAATTACAATATATTTATTATTATTATTATTTTTTTTTATTACTATTATTTTTTTTTACTATTATTTTTTGTATTACTATTATTTTTTTAATATTATTATTATTTTTTTTTTTAATATTATTATTATTATTTTTTATATTATTATTATTTTTTTTAAATTATTATTATTATTTTTTAATAATATTATTATTTTTTTAATATTATTTCTATTTTTTTAATATTTTTTTTTAATATTATTTTTATTTTTTTTAATATTATTTTGTTTTATTATTATTATTAATGGAAGTAACTCGTTCCTGCACACCTGTGAATAGCGACACCTTTGGCAAAAGCTCCATGCACCACCACACCTGCTAATGACTCCACGCTCCAACTAACTACTCTCATTGGCTCCAGCACACCAACCGGATTCTGAGGACATCTTCACACTTTTTATTTATACACTTACAGTACATTTACAATCAGTCCATAAATAGTCACAAATATTAAGCATGATATATAGACAATAATTGCTATGACGCTACTATTCCTTGGATAACGACGCCATAATTATTATTAATGGTTGAAGTTTTGCCGTTGTTCACTTGTGTTAATCCTTTTATGTTCAATTAAATTTCAAAATTTTATTTCTAGTGCTCTCACTAGGTACCCCTGGACAATAATACCAGAAGCATCTGTCAAGTGTCACAAGTATATATAAATATTATAAAGGTGCTCACTAAAGCCTAAGGAAAGACGGATATTCCTTCAACACATCATAAATATTATTTACATAATATCTGGCCAGTATGAGGAGGATCCTCATGTCTCCGTCAGGGTGTCGTGGAGTGGTGGTCCAGCAGGTGTCACGGAAGCGTTGTGTGTGGGGACATCATAGGAAGTAGTGGACAAGGGTGCGACTGTCGGGTCTTCTGCATAATGCACAAGCGCGTTGCTCAGGGGAGGCGGGGATACTAATCTCCCAAGCAAAGTCATACACAATGATGACACGGGCAGCAATCACGTCCCTTTTCCGCGGCCCTTTCCCATAGACATACGAGAGGTCAGGGAGCTTACGGAGGACATTGTACCAGGTGGGCGGGGTGTCCAGGGGTATGGCTGCTTCCCGAGCTTGTCTTTGTTTCCGGCGAATTTGGGTCCTAAGCTGTAAAAGTGTTCGAGGAACAACGTAGTCAGGTGTGGCCTTGCTAAAGCCAGTCGTAGCAAGGCCATCTGCTGCCTCATTCCCCAAGATACCGACATGACTGGGTATCCATAGAAATGTCACAGGACGGCCTGCATCCTGAAGTGTTGATGTTAGCCCTCGTATTCGTAGGATGAGGTCCTTATTTTCCCCTGATCGCAGCAGATAAGCAAGGGGTAGAAACCATCGGCTTCTTCCTCAGCGAAAAGGGCAGCAAGGAGGGCTATCAGTTCGGCCTGAGTGGAGGATGCCCCGTCAGAAACTCTAAGAGAAAGTTTGATAGGCTCAGGGGCATCAGGACGGGAGATGTAAACATCAGCCCCGGCCCTACCTGTAGCGGGGTCAACAGAGCCATCAGTGTAGAGGACGACCCTACCTGGAGACCAGTGGGCGATTCTGGAGAGCTGGTATTTGCAGAGAATAACAGGGTTCAAGTGGGATTTCGGGAGCGGTCCACCGAGGGCAATCACTTCAGGTTGAAAATCCAGTCAGGGAGAAGGAGACGAACCAACAGCAGGGGTGACAACAATATCAGGCAGGAGGTCGTGTTCCTGCAGGGCTCGGATGAGTGACCCTCGCCACTGTCTTCTAGATGGAGGTCGGCCTCGGACACCAGGAGTCAAGTTGGCTTGGACATAGTTGCCCCGAGGATCCCGTTGAATGGAAACGGTAGTTTTCAGGTAAAACTCCTGGACACGATCCTGTAAGGGGGAAAGACCAAGTTCGGTATATAGAGAAGTAGAGCGTGTCCACTGAGGGGCCCCAAGGATGATACGAGCAGCTTTCCTCTGGATAACTTCGAGACGGTTGACAGCGGTCCGACTAATGTTGACGAGGGCAGGAGCGGCGTATTCGACACAGGAACGAACAAAGGGCTTTTGCATGGTGAGAAGTACAGGATGGTGGCACCAAGGGAACCACTGCACATGGTAGAGAGGAGAGCGAGACGCCGAAAGCAGATGTCTCGAAGATAGTGGAATTCAGGGAGTGACAACGTGTGCGAGTTACATACACACCCAGATATTTTGTCTCATTAACCCAGTCCAAGGGCGTTCCTGAAATGAGAAGGGGGACAGGTACAACACGACCGTGCTACATGGCTTTTGTTTTCGCAGTTGAAAGAAGGAAACCGAGTGAAATACACTCTCTGGAGACCAGATCAAGGGCCTCCTGCATGTTGAGGTAGTCAGGGACTTGGAGGACATCGTCGGCATATCCTGAGTGGACAACTTCTGTCGGCCACGGGAGAGATGCAATGGAGTGCATGAGTGTTAAACAAGGTGGGACTCAGGACTCTACCTTGAACAGGAGATAAAGAGCCTTCAACGCAAACCCGGGCCTGACATCCAGCGAGGTAAGAGGCGATCCATCCACAAAGTCTCCCTTTAACCCCAAACCTTACAAGTTCAGCCAAAATGAGGGCAGGCTGAGCCGTATCAAAGGCTCCCTTGATATCAAGGAAGACGGAGACGCGGGCAGTGCGATTGCAATAAAAGGAAGCAATGGAGTGTGCTGTGCTGCGATGTTGTATGAAACCATTGAGGGAGTTGTGGAAGCCGCCTATGGTGTGAAGAAGGCAACGATGGAGTATCCTCTCCATCATCTTGCAAACACAGGAGGTAAGACTAATGGGTCGAAATTTCCCAGGATCTCCCGGCTTAGGGATGGGGATAATAGTGGCATTTTTCCAGTTAGACGGGAGAGCCCCATGTTCATAAGACATATTGTAGAGAGCGAGCAAGGAGCCGTTAGGAATATTAGTACAGGCATTCAGGATGGAGTAGGTTATCTGATCATCCCCAGGAGAGGTGTCTTTTCTAGAGCGACGAGCACTGTCAAGCTCAAACTGTGTGATGGGATGATCAATGATGGCAGGGGAGGTAAGAGCAGCACGAACAACAGGCTCAGACGCATCGATGAGAGCCTGCACTGCCTCCTGCATCGGATCTGGAAGTGCCTCAGGGGAGGAAGCTCGTGCCCAGTCCTCCATTAAAGAGCAGGCAAGGGAGGCGGGGCCAGGGTGGGGAGGAAGCATTAATCTG